TTACCTTCAAAATCATTTTGTGCATTATACCAAATTATAGAAATAAGCAAAATACCTACATGTCTCTTGCTCTAAACTGAATTATTAAATCAGTTTGCTATACTTCATTACCCTGCATTTACCCACATTGCGATGATTGCACAACTGCTTGTATGACGTTATGTGATAAATGAAATAGTTCATAGTTCATTATTATTCAGGTTCGAAAATCGGAAAACTACTGTTGCCTAAATCAAAACACGTATACTTAATTGTTACTGTGCCTGTGCGTGTGCCGTGTGACGCACAGTTCATTATTCTATTGTGCTGTATTTGTGTTTTGTCGTAAAGAAATTTTAGGTGTTCGTTGTTATTCTGTGGTTTACATGTTGAAATGTACTATTATATTATTTATTTATGTATTTCTCTGTCCTGAATGTTCTTGCATTTATTTGTACTGTATTCCTGTCACGTAATGTTGTCATTTTAGCGGTATTTTTAACATTGCCATTGAAGCGGGAGGTTTTGCTAGCCAGAAAACCAGGTTCAACCCACCATTTTTTCTTAAAATGTCCTGTACCAAGTCAGGAATATGGCAGCTGTTATCACATAGTTCGTTTCTATGTATGTCGGCGTGTGTTTTTGTAGCAGTTCAGTGTGTCTGTTGTTCCGTTTTCTTTCCTCTTATAGATAAATGTTTCCCTAAGATTTGGTTTGTGACCCGGATTTGTTTCAGTAAAATCGATTTATGACTATTGAACAGCGGTATGCTACTATTGTCTGTATTCACTGTTAACCTGTTTCAAAGGCTCATGATCAGTGTGAGCGAGTATACTATTAGTCAACAGTTGGTGTCCATCGTTTCTCCCTCCTTATCCGTAAAATTTTCAAATGATTATCCTGTGTAAATACTGGGAGAATAAGAACCAAACTTGAGATGCAAAAAAGTGCAGAAATTCAGTTGCATTATTGGTAGTCACAACACATATATCTCTTGTTGGATATAGACCACCATAATCCTAAGGGTGTCTGGTTAAAAGTTTGTCTGAGTGTTTCCTTTACCAACCTACAGCTTTATTATGTATTGACTACATACAGCGATTAAATAAGCCAAATGAAAATACTAAGTGAATGTTTAGCCGGATTGCATTCACAGTTACTAAAAGTAGTTACATGTTTTAGTAAATCAACTTTTGATTTAATTTCGGTTCTTGAAAAAAAACATATACATTTTACTTTGCCAATATACTACGTATTTGTTTTTAATAAATATTAATGAAGAACTGATATCCAACTAGCTGTAGATATCAAAACCTTGCAATCTAAAAAAAAAATTAGATTCCATAAAGGATTTGCTTCGAAGTAATTCCAAATAACATATCAATTGTATTATACACGTTTTAACCGTATTATTAGATGCATTTTCATAACAGCTATTGTCGATAGATTTATTTGATTGAATACTTCACACTATTCAGTGTTTCCAATGCTTTTTATCCAATTTTTTTCCTTCTACCAACACTGTGTCTACTCTGCTTGTCCGAGCAAATAAAATAAGAATGAGCATGTACTCTTAAACAATAATGAGGTCAATTTGATTGTTAGAAAACTGGGACTTGGGAAGCAGTTATTTAGGAAGAGGGCTTGTATAAGCATCTTTTTTTTCCGATACTATTCGTAGCCATAAAGTATATCAACATGTATCATATTTTGAGAGGTCGCTTTAAAACAAAAAAAAACATAAAAGTAAAAAATAAACACTTTTTAATTTTTATCATGCGTGTACCTTATTGACAAAAATGAACGATTGTTAAAGTTTAATCCAATAGATTTGATTAAATACAACATACTAGTCATTACAATGTACCTGAGCTTGCATTTCCTATCATGATTTCCTTTTTAAAAACAGTTGCTGCCTTCACAAAAGCTGTTGAATCCAGGGTTCATATTGATTTAGTTGCAGTCATCTCTTCGAAAGTTTAACGGAGGCCATCTTGATATCTATGTCACAAGTGACCACGGGTATATTTCAACTGAAGTAGCCACAATCCCATTCCCTTTTATAAAATATGATATCTCCGAATGAGACTTATCGCCGATTGGTTCATTACATAAACTCTAAGCAGGCGCATTTAAAGGAACAAAATCTGTTTACCTGATTTTCCAGATCACCTGATATCTTTTGTATAGTGTTTTATAGACTGTTTTTTTTTAACATTTCGTCGTTTTTCTTTTTGGTCATAAGATTTCTCCACCTCGGACTCTTTTTTTTCTATACATTACAATTATAATTCAAGCAATTATTTATAGAAAGAAACACATCTCGATTTACCTATCCTCAACGTTACTTCATGTTTGCAATGTACATAATTCAAATAATGTATATAATAGTGTCGTCTGAGTGTTTTTCTCTATATGTTGCACTTTGTAAATACAGCTGTTTCACAAACCATGCCTCTTTTGGGGAGATATATAATTTTCATAAATATTTTGTTTTATTTACCTACTGGTTCCCGGATATGATCTTTGTGTTTCATCTCATAGAGACACAACTTCGGAATTTTACCAGTATAAATGCACACGGATAGCGCCCAAATTGAATTCTGAGGAAGACCCAATATGAAGTGAGGGGTAGTACAGAATTTATGTACAAGTTTAAACTCTTAGAAATTCGCGGCATATAAATGTTGAAAACATGCCGCTCAACACTATGTTTTGACCTTTAAAAAATTAGTAGTGCATATGAACTTTCCATTCTAAAATATATTTTTTTACGAAACTTCATAGTAAACGTGGCACTGTTTTAGCCTTAAAAGGAGTTCCTATGGAAAATTACATTGTTTATATTTACGGAAGTGCAAACTATAAGTATCTTTATAAAGTAGTCGAGCATGTACAAATCAATAATTCATCAACAAGTTAAACTTCTGCCCCACTATGAAGTTTAACCACATGCTTTGAAAATTGAATTATTTTTATGATAATATCATAACGTTGAGGATAACGTAGCCAAAGACAAAATATGTTCAATGGATTGTTTTCATTTTTGTTTTGAAATGGTAAGATGTAATACACTACTAGTAATGCTTTGCCTCTTCAATTCAAACTTCCAAACAACATTATATAATATTAATTTTACTTTACTTTTCAAAATTGCGACTGTAATTACATACATGAGTCAGTGCTTTAAAGAATCTGCAGAATAGCATACCAAGCCTATCTAGACTGATCAGTTAATCTTAATCTGACAGTATTGTACAACCAGTGATCAATGAGGAAATGTTGAGTATTCCTTATATATTTGAGATTCCTCAAAAATCATCAAGCATTAAATGTTCTTTTAGGCTCCGTGTTGAAGACCGTACTTTGACCTATTATGGTTTACTTTTATAAATTTTGACTTGGATGGAGAGTTGTTTCATTGGCACTCATACCACATCTTCTTATATCTATTTCACCACATTTTGCGTTCACTGTAATTATTATAACTAAGGTCGTATAAAATATGTTATGTTCTGTTTGGCTGTTGTCTCTTTAACTTACAAAGTTGTCAAATATGATCATTTAAATCTAATATAACTAATATTGAAATTTCGATTAACCAATGATTTTCGACACGTATGACGAAATGATGATTATCTAAAAGACAAAATACTGTGAACCCTCTTTCCAGAGCCAGAAGTGTATGAATATTAATCTTTTCCCTTTTTAATAAGTTTTCATCCATACCTTTTAAAGTAATTTATTAGATTCCGGCTGTAAAATATTTCTGTAACATATCCACCATGACGCCACGACTTTGTATGATATGATGTTTATTTTAAATTTACAAATGGAATAATGTACAAAAATGTTAGTAATAATTTACAAAGAAACAGATCTTAGTTCGCACGACACGCTTCTGGAACCTTCATCAGATACATTCGTGACCAAATAGCTAGGTGCAGAATACATATACCCTTTTGTTTATCAAAACTATAAAAAAAAAAAAAAAGGCAAAAAAAACAAATACAAATAATAAATATGCTTGTTTAATGAGTTTTTTTTTTTCTTGACTTGAATTGAGATTTGCTTGAATACATTGTTTTAACGTTGTTACGGAAAGCACATGCAGTGATAGATGTTGTATTTTGTACGGAAATAAAAGATAACTTTTGAAATGCCTCAATCAGTCACAATTTTGGATCGTACAATAACACTCAATGTAGTATCCAATACACAATTACTTAAAACTGTAGTGTGATAATTGTCAACTCAATGAAATATACATTACAGGATAGATATTCCTTATTAACCTAGTTCGTATAACACATATTGACATATACCTGTCCTTCAAATTTTGAAGTACCTTTCTTCAAATTATTGCGTTCGGTCTTTCAGTTATTTGATGATTTTTTATTTCTAAAAGTGGCTGATGGTTTATAAGGAAAGCATTTATGTCTCTATATGAGAAGTTGTGCATTGTCACCCAGCAAAAAGTTGTTTTTGAATTGATTGATGGTCTTCTCTGACATGTTAAAACAGAAACTACATTTAGCCTTAAGCTGCTTTAAACGGTACTCTGTGGCTTATTCACCTAAACACATGATTACGAATCAGTGGTTTCAGTAACTGTGAGTTATACATTAAATCCAAACCAATGTACAGACGTATCTGATAAACAGTTTAATGATTAGCGGCCAAAAGTTTATAATCATCGTAATAATTGAATAATGAAATAAAGTGGATGCAATCGGAAAAGGTATTGGACAGATAATGCACGCAATTTGTACAATTTTAAAAAATTGTTTCACATTTGTCACGTTTAGGTCATTTATAGCTTATTTTTCTATATGGATTTTGTTCATTGTTAAGCCGTTCGTTATCCTATAATCACAAATATATACATTGAGTCTCTGATTGATAATTGTCTCATTGAAAGTCATATCACATCTTATTTTTATATTTTTTACAAAATATGATACCAAAAAATTAAATTTATTTAAATGAAAAAAAAATATGCTACTCATTAAATCAGCAACAAGATGGAAGAAACTTCAGTTGTCTTGATGATTTCCGCTTTTTCCTGAAAGTAAAAATGATAAAACTATACCAAATAGACATATCTAGACAGGAAAATATTCAATTTTGGTTTAAAATGTCAAATTTGGTATCAAATAATGGCCTAATTTATGCTGATTCCGAAAATATATGCTTTTTATATACTTTTGCTAAAATAAGGGAGATGAATAGTTACTTCCGGTTACAAAATGCTACTTCCGGTTACATTGGAACCACACTTTACACTGATTCCAAAAATATAAAGTTGTAGTAACTTGTACATGAAAATAATGCAAAGATAGCTACTTCCTGTTTACAAAAGGTCACTTTCGGTTGACCTTTTTGAAGGTCATATATCTGTTACCCAATGTAAAAGACCCTTTGACTTTAACTTGAACCAATAAGAAGTTAGAGCAAAGGTCAAAATCTAGAACGTCAAATCAAACTTTGACCTTGACCCCAATTTTAAGGTCATAAAACAAGGACCTCAAATCAAAAGACCCCAGGTCTTTACTTTATATGGTTAATGAATTATGTCACCATATAGCTAATTTTAAATATAAGAGGGGAAAAAACTTTTCAAACAAAATTTATGTGTAACGATTTGTTGCAACTGTTCTGTAAAAATGTTTTGTCGATATCTTATATTTTTTCTGATAATAAGTGATAACAAGCCAAAATCAAAATTTGTGACATGACCTTGACCTTTAACCTTGACCTAATTTTCATTTTGGTGGACCAAAGACCTCAAATCGAAATACCCTAGGTCTGTATGACTTCTGGTTTATGAGTATCTATCACATTTCACTTATGTTAAACACATAAGGGGGAAAAACTCTCATATGGAATCTCCGTAACGCTTTGGTCAAAATTAAACGTAACATTCTGAGGATATAACGAGCAATTTGGAAAAATAAATTTGTCGATTTCATTTACGGTTGCAAAGGAGTAGTCATAACAAGAAAAACAGTGTTAGGTTAAAAAGGGTCAGTTTCAAAAGCATATAAACTGTACGATATCATATACAAAAAAAATCTAAGCGACATCTTTTGAAACAATAATACAGCGCAAGAAAAAAATTAGGCAAAAGAAAAAAAAAAATTAAAAACCCATTGTTCAGAGAACAATTTAAGGTCTTTCCACATCAATTTTCTGAATTATTGATGAAAAGCTACTCCCGGTTTACTCAACGGTTCCATTGGCGTCCAAGCATAGGTTTCTTCATATTGATTCAAAAAAATATGCTTCTATATATTTTTGCCTGGAAAAAGGGGGATAATTGTCAACTTCCGGTTTTAAAAAAGTCACATCCGGTCTCACATGATAGCTATATTCACACTGATTCCAAAAATATATAGTTTCTATAAACTTTTACATGTAATAAAGGAGTTATTATGTACTTCCGGTTTATGGAAGGTTACTTCCGGTTTGAAATGATAGGTTTATATAAACGTATTTAAAAAATATATAGTTTATATGTATTTTTCCATGAAATAAGTGCAAAAAAAGCTATTTCCGGTTTACTCAAGGTCATTTCCGGTTTACATTTTTCAAGGTCATAAGTTACCCAACATTTTGCAAAGGCCCTATGGCTTTATCATGTACCAAGTTGGAGTGATAATCAATTAACCCTTAAATGTTATCATTTCAGGGACAATAACTCCTATAAGATGTCGTTGAATTGTTTTAGACCAATGTATTATATCTTCATCACAATGAGGCAAACATTTTGCACTAGTTTTTTTTCTATATATCTTCAAAAGTGACTGAGGAGATCATTAAACAAGAAAAAGTCCAAATTTAGAATATGACCTTGACCTTTGACCTAGACCCCAATTTCATTTTAGCGAACCACGGAGCCCAAATCAATATACCTTAGATGTATATCACTTGCCATTCATGCTATACATTAATGTATCACTTATGTCAAATACAGAAGGGAAATAACTCTAATAAGGAGTCTTCGTATCGCTTCGGTCAAAACTGGACAAAAAGTCCTGAGGATATATACTATTGTCTGAAATTAGGGAATTTTTTGCAACTTCCAGTTTAAAAAATATCACTACGGCCTTAAATGATAGCGTGCTACGCACTGATTCCAAAATTATATGGTTTCTATCTACTTTTATTTCAAATAAGGGAGAAAATTTGCTACTTCCTGTTTACAGAAGGTGACTTCCGGTGTCAATGAAAGGTTATCTTTTGCTGATTCTAAACATGCATAGTTTCTATGTATTTTTCCCTTCAATCAGTGCAAAATTAGCTACTTCCGGTTAGCACAAGGTCACTTCCGGTTGATATTTTTCAAGGTCATGTGTCACCAAACCCTTTGCCAAAGACAGTATGGCTTTATTATGTATCAAAATGAAGTTATATTACCATTTATTTGTCTAAACAACCCAAACATTTAACATTAGTTCTATTGTATCTAGTTTTTATATAAGATAAGATGAACACACAAACAAAAGGCAAAAATTAGAAAATGACCTTGATCTTTGACCTTGACACTATTTTCTTTCTGATGGACCAAGGACCTCAAATCAGGATACCGTAGGTCTCTATCACTTACGGTTCATACGTTCTATTTAGATACCACTTATGGGAAATACAAAAGGGGAAATAACTCTCATATGGACTCTCAGTATCGCTTCGGTTAAAATTGACCGAAGAATACTGAGGATTAAACGAGCCATTTGGAAAAGTATATTTGTCGATTTCTTTTACGGTTGCGAAGGAGATGCATACACAAAAAAGCAGTGTTTGGGAAGATAAGTCTTACAAAAAATATTGTTCGGTTAAACAGGGTCGAAATTAAAAGCGCATAAACTGTACGATAATATATACCAAATATTTACGCAACATGTTGCGAAACAAAAATTACAAGCAAAAACAAAATTTGGCGGAAGAAAAAAAAATAATAATCAGAACAAATACAATAGGTCTTTTCACAGAAAAGTGGAAAGACCTAATAATAATAATCAGCAGAAAATCAATAGGTCTTTCCACAGGAAAGTGGAAAGACCTAAAAATCAGAACAAAATCAAAAAGTCTTTCCACGGAAAAATAGAAAGACCTAATAATCAGAACAAAAGCAAAAGGTCTTTCCACGAAAAGTGGAAAGACTTAACTAATTTGAAAGAGAGGCGAAGGATACCAAAGGAACATTAAAACTCACAAGTCGAAAATAAACTGACAACGCCATGGCAAAAAAGACAAACAAATAACAGTGCACAAAACACAACATAGAAAACCAAAGACTGATCAAGACGAACCGCACTTAAAACTGGGAGTGATCTCAGGTGCTCCGGAAGGGTAAGCAGATCCTGTTCCACATGTTGCACCCGTCATGTTGCTTATGTTAGTACAAACCTGGTGATAAGTCTTATTCGGTGAAAAGGGGACGGGATTGAAGTTACGACAATTGGAACATCTGTTCCATCAACAAAAAGTAGCAAAGTAGAATTTTTGAGTTTGTATATTGCTTGGATTGCGTCAGTTTCCTTGTCTTTATTCTGATGTTTTTATTTTAGGGTAGGGACTTTATATTGTATTTACTATACAAGTTTTTGGATTTTTTAAGTATCTACATCTGATTCACACCCTAGAGAATGTAGTTTTACAATATCTCTGAAACCTAGTTTTGAATATATATCTCAGTTGATTTTAGAGATACAACTGACACTAGAAGGTCTGATTCATACCTTGATCTTTTCCTAGATATTGTCACAAACAAAACTGAATATTTCAACTTTACAATTTTCAACTTCACATTTGTTCGCAGATTCATACCGTCTGCTTCATCGTGTGGTGTTTACATATCTCAATTAACAAGTTATGCTTGTGCATGTTCACACTATACGAATTTCATTAACCGGAGTGTTCTCCTTACACTAAAACTGCTCGAAGTAATAAGTTATGAGGAAGCACACTTTAGTACATACGATTTACGGTCACTGGCATGAATTGGATGACCGATACAATGTGTCTTTGTCTCAAATCACTAGCGACACCTTTTCGTGGTCCTACATCTTTCGATACCAGAACAGTGTTTTTATTTTTTTAATTTTACCGATTGTGTACTTTTTCCGATTGTGTACTTTTTCCGGTTGTGACATTTTAACTGAATGTAGATTTGCATACACAGTAGGAGACGCTTATCCTGTCGACGCACCTGGTTCATGCGATTAAATCAGATTTTGTTTTACATTGATTTGTATTTTTCTTGATCGATTTATGAAATTTGAACATCAATAAACTACTGTTTTTTTTTATTTGAAAGCTGGTAAGATATAAGTAAAGAACTAAGAATTACGTTTCCATTTCCTCGAACATTTGACAGACGTAAAAAAAAAATTGTTAGGATACTAATATAATGGTAATTAATGTTGCAATGGATGCTGCATTTATTTACTTAATGTCAATGTATATGGAACAAAGGTCTATCAAACTCACTTAAAATTATAAAAAAAAATATATTTAAGATTGAATTGAAATCGTAATCGATTATATAGATGACCCTGAAATTAAAAAAAGGTCATCATAAGATCACTGAAACAATTTTGTTCAACTCTTAGATTAAGCCTCAAACTAAAACTGCATTGTTTCTTGAAAGCAGCAAGAAAAGCATCTGTGAAACGAAACAACAAACTGGAAAGAAACAACAAACTCAGACTGGTGGATCGGAGTTAATTAATATCTGGGTATGCTTACATGTCATCCTATGAAAATGGTTAAGCTAAAATCTTAGAATATGAATAAATGTCTTTTAAATGCACAACTGGGTTCATATTGATATCAAATAAACATGCTACTGTTCTTAAAATGAAAGGTAAAATTTAACGGTAGGCAAAATCATTCATCATTCAATAAATATATATACTATGCCCGATGTTTATCTGGAAGAATACATGATCAGCAGATAAAGTACTTCAATTGAGTTAGATTTCAATAATTGGGGGCATTAAAATTCATATTATCGAGATAAAAGGATTGTCGAGAGCTCACAAAATGTTGATATGGTTGTCC